CATCATCATCATCATCATCATCATCATCATCATCATCATCATCATCACCAATCCCACTCACAGGGCACAAAGAAAACCAAGCCCGTCTTGCGTCATCTGCCATTGGCAGGTATCTTTTCAAGGACTTAGTTCCACAAAGAAAAAGACTTGCCACCAATAGTGTCCCATTGGGAATCTCAGAGGGGTCGATTTGGTCCCACATACCATACCATACCTATCAGGCGAGTGTATCCCAGGTACTCGCTAAATCACGTGCTCAACACGAGTCAATTCGCTCTGTTCTCTGCGCGCTGCCGAGTTGTCAACGGCGGGACTCAATGGACGTTCGGTGAGTCGTTGTTCACGACTGGGGCGGATATCTCCCCTCTATTCCTCGGGCCATCTCAGGCCATCTCAGGCCATCAGGCCTATATGCCGGCTATATATTGGGTCTATCATACGGTCTATCCTATTACCTGTAACAGTGGATGATGGTTAGGTTGCGGGCCTATAGTCCAAAAAAAAGGTGCGAAGTGTGGCTGTTGACAGCTAAGTGCGGACAGACCCTAGCACTGCCATCCCTGCAGGCCATCCATCCTGCCATCCCACGGCCTCCTGGTGTTCCGGCGTGGTCGAGAACTCGGCTACCGGCCGGGCGGACGCCGTCCGGCCTTGGTGATCTCGGGTGTAGCGAACGGACGGTGAGCTTGGGGGACGAAGAGATGCATTCAATTGGTCCAACAAAAACTAACACTAACTCATTGGACTCATTGTGTGATCAACATGTGATTGGCCGCTCTTTGAACAAAACATGATTGAACTAACATGTGACGTGCACGGGAAAGTTCAAGTGCATGGGAAAGCAACTTGTGAATCCTCATCATCTTCTCTTCTCGTCGTGTCTACAGGATTCATTCAGTCGCATGTTCCGTCCGAATTCTGTCCCTAATGACGGTTCGTGCGCTTGAAAACGAAGTCCAGTGTTCCGTTCCAATTAACATGACGCCCGGCAGAGGACTGCATGACACTTCAGGCAAGAGTACGTAGCCTACAAATCCACTTCTCAACCACTACGCAGACAAAAATCAAGGTCTCTTAGACCAAACAAGCCTGGCCCCTCTGAATGCGGGAGGCGGATTTTGAAGACGATGCCACAAGCACCAGCAGGCTCCCCATGTAGCGCTAACTCTTCTGCCAAAGCAGGGTCTTGAGTGCACGAGGTGGGGTGCCTGCAGCACGGCAGTTCTCTTCAAGCCTGGGATACTCAAACAGAGTCCACTCAATCCAGCCCATCAGAATCGGCTGCCCACTCGCAATCTTGATGAATTCCAAGTGAAAATGCCTCAACAGTACCCAAGTGGACTCTCAGAAGATTAGCTGAAGACATCCAAACTGAATTGCTTGCCTTGAGTGGACATGCAGCATGGCCAAGAATCTATCAAACATTGCTGGAATACAGGTGGATTTACTGTAACTGAACTCATGCCAGGTTCTATTTTCCAATGCTTTGGGAAAGCACGTTCTCTTTCCCTGCCGGGCCCCCCCATCATCCCCTATCACCCCACAAGCCGCACGCCTCCACATCACAATACTTCCGGGTCGATAACCTCACCATCAGCTGTCAGCAGTTCTTGGATCTCTCAGGTGAGAAGTAGATGCAAAGTAGTTTCAGGCTACGTGGCACAATCACCAAGTTTGGTTTACATGGTTTATATATGGGCCCCCATCTTAAAAGAAACATCTTGGGTTGCCAGGGCCATCTTCACCTCTGAAACCACTGTAATCCCCTTGTCAAGTTAACAGTGTTGGATGATCAGAATGTCCTCTACCACTGGAGCAGGGGGGTGGATGGGACGATGGGACGTGGGAGAAGATGTGCCATGGGCTGCGCCAGCGGCCAGCGGCCAGCACATCGCCTCCGGCGGATCACGCGTCCAGCTACCGAAGGCCCTCTGAAAAGCTGGCTGCGCAGTGGGCACGCTCCCAGTGAAGACATGGCGGCCATGTTGCAAGAAGCATGTTGTAGACCCAAACCAGCCAAGAGTCGTGGTGTTCAACCGGTCCCAAATCAGCCCATCAAGGGAAAAGAATTAGTTCTTAAGAAAAGAAATTCCTTGGCAACTCAGTGCATAATTCTTCAACAACCAGACTGGAAACCATCTATCCAATGGTCCCTTGGTCCCCCTTGCGCCAAGGCTCAATCCATGCCCAAGCGATGGCCGCGCAAGAAGTCGCGCAAGCCACCCGCCAACGTCAGGCGCAAGGCGCGGAAACACACCACCTACGAGGTGCGGCTTGGGGTGAGCTGAGAACAGCTGGATACTTCAACCCAAGAGACCACAGACATGCACCAAGAGTATCACTCACATCGGAGTGGTTTTTCCCATCCAGTGAATGGGGTAGTAGCTGGGCACCCCGACTTTCTCCAAGCTCGGTACTTCTACCAAAACATGCTATAGCAAATGGAAATGGCTAAAAAAATGTGACTCCTGGCAATTGCTCAAAGATGGGACGTCCAAACTGAAGCTTAAGCGATGGGATGAGAGATTGGAGAACAACACACGACATCAACTCTTTATGGGAAATTATAGGAACATCTTAAAACAAGCCTACCTCTGTTTCGAAGATTGTTGAGGTGGGTGCCAGGGGGGGACAGGAGCGCCAAGACGTTCTGCTAAACTCCTTGCAGATCATTTTTCCATCTTGCGCCCCACACACTCTACGGCAGGCGTACCGGAGGTCCTGGAGAAATTGGCTGTCCCGGCCGTTCTACTTGTATTTTGCATGCAAATTTCAGCAGGGGTGTGACTCCAGGGTTAAAACCACCAAACCTGGTCTGCTCGATCGAAAATGAACGGAACATCGACGACATCCGGATTCCAAAGATGTCAACCTACCAGGTTGACGCTCCGGCTGCTTCCCTCTCGCCAGTGAACCTGTGGAGGGAAGTGGCGAGAAGGGTCAGCAGCCTGGAACAAAACCTTGTCAATGTCAATCAACTGCCCATTCCTCCCTGAAAGATGCTTGAAGTGTGTATCAATCAAAATTCTAAACTCCGGGGGCAATGAACCCCCCAAACCCTGGCAGCTACACGTCGCCAGCTAAGCAAAACCTTGTTAGCTTTCAGTGGAATTACATCCAATGACCCATAAACCCCTGAAACCTTCACCTCTTGTCTTGCCCTGCTTATGAAGGAAGGCCCCCCCCTTATTTCTAAAGAAAGAACACACATGTTTTTAGTGTGAGTCTTCACCTTGTCTTCACCTAACATTCGGAACCTTCGCCCTCCGCGCAGGTGGCGCTCGCTCGCATCACGCGGCCCCTCCGATTCGAATCCCAGGCACCTTCCGAGCAGGGAGGGCTTGCAGAGCGTTGGTCAGCTCCGACTGAGGCAGAAGAGACGTTTGGTGCGGCCACGAGAGACCCTTTTTTGGGGGTGGGCATACCGTTGTTTTGTTGGGAGCCCGTGGAAGCTTGGGCGTCGCCATTCCTATATATAGATCTTCCAACTATGTAGAATGTCTGCCTGCTGCATCTATAAAAACCAGCCGTTAGGCAGATACGTTGCATAGTTGGAAGATCCAGGTTGGCTCTCACCCCTTCTCCAATGGAGATTTGTTTGGTAAACACGTGTGACAGCTGGCCGTGTCTTAAAAGGCAAAGAAACGTTGGGTAATATTGGGTAGTATTGGGTAGTTGGGGCAACAAATGATTCATCAACGGTGTCAAATGCAGGGTCTAGACATGTGAGAATTGCAGATTGATGATTGATTGGAGATACTGATGATTGGGATCATCAGGTGCCTGATGAAAGTCTTCCCTTCATCATGCGAAAGGACACTTGGAAAGCCATGCAGCAAGAGTTTCAGACACTTCATCGACACAACACTATCCAAACCCACCCTAGAACTGCAGCAACGGCTGGCTACAGTTACCCAGTTGTCCAAACACTCCAAGGTTTCGCATCTTCTTTAAGTCACTGAAGCTCTTGAAACCTCTAAAAACCATCTATATAATTACCAACGTTCGCGGCCGCCTGCCAGGACCCACCAATTCCATCCCAACGCTGTCCCAGCCACGTGGGCGCTCATCAGGTCCGCTGCCCGCTCGCGCACGGCCGGTGCCGGGCTCTGCGAGAGCTGCGCGCTCAGGGCCGTGCTACACTCGCCTCGGAGCCGCCAACGCTTATGCCCAGGGGGTCGAGGCGCTGACGCTTGGTGAATGGTCGACATGTTGTGACTAGTCATCACAGCCTCCAGGTATGAGCTCGTCCATGCTCTTATATACCCTAGGGCTCCAGTCGTACCTCCTCAGGTTCGGTATGACTGGAGCCTCCTGGCACCCGGGCCCCGGTCGTCCCACCGAAACGAGACGGTTCGGTACGACTGGAGCCCAAACGGGATATATATAATATGTATATATATAACTGTTTATAACTATAGATTCTTCACGGCTGTGGATTACCCAACTGTCACGCCATGTGGGTCATGGCTCACTTTCGCACCACATCCTAGAACACCCCAGCATGGCCATTGCCCTGGCAACCCCCCCCCGGTTCATTCGACCCCAGAGTCAGGGGGACCGAGAGTCAGGGTCAATCTAGTTGAATATGCCGCATGCAGGATCACTCGTGTCTGGAATAGATAGAGTTCTTCTTTCATGAATCCTAAATGATGCGTCTTTTTCATGGATGTGTCTTCTTTGAAGTATGGTGTCTATAGAGATCTTGCAACATGGAAGTGATGAAAGATGAACACAACTCCAAAATCATGAGTCCAACATCAAATGCAGCTCTTTCTAGAATACACTTCAGGCTAAGCTAGCAGCTAGCCAGGTTCCATTCATTTCCCAGCAGATTTCAGAGGGCAAAAGCCATTCCCAGCACAAAAGAGCAGACGTTTCTCGATGGTTCCATCCATTTCTCCGCTGAGTTGCTGTGGAAGGAGACATCGGAGAGGAACAGATTCAACGCTACAATGTTTCCAGGAGATAATCCTTGGCATATCCAGGGCGCAAGTCTTGTTCGGAGAGGGAAAGAAAGGGTTGCAACAAAAAGAGCGACACACATGACGCGTTTCTTCACTTTCCAAATTGGCTCATCAAATGAGGTTTTGTCACTGGTCTGTCAGTCTGAACACCTTTCTCGAGGCGAAGCAAAGCAAGGCTGTGTCATAGTTCTTTCTTTATGCGCATTCCGTCTAAGAGCGGCCAAAAGCAGGTACTGAGTGCCCTTCAAGGCTGGGAACCGAAAGAAACAGAACACCTTTTCAGCTCACTCAACTCGCCTGCGCTTGAAGCCTAGCTTGTAAGGCCACGTCTCCAGCTTTCCCTTCGGCGGTCAATCGCAGTGCTAACAGCTGGGCGCTGGCCAAAGCGTGCTCGTTGGCTCCTGGAGTGGTGGAGTGCGGGGGGTGTCACCCGCCAGGCACGTCAGACCGTGCTTCTTGTGGTGTTGGATCATATGATCATCCGCAGGGATACCGTTTTCGGTACCGAAGCTGGCCTCACGTTCGGTACGACTGGACCCTGTTCGGTACCTTGGTACCTATACCTACATAACAGTGTTGAACAGAATCACTGGTACCGTCAGAGGGTGCTATAGTGGATCCCTAGGGCCATCTTGATGGATCGGGTGGATTTCAGCAAGGGATTTCTGCAAAGAAAAAAGGGAAAATTCATGGAATTCTAGACTTAGAGAGATGCGAATTCCCTGAATGTTGCGTCAAGGCAGAACGGAGCAGGGCCTCTACAGATCTGTTGTTCCTCTCCAAGCTTATCGATCTAGACGATTCACATTGAACAACATGTCTTGGAACTGGAACCTTCACAACCACACCCAACAAAGGCAAGAAGGTGGAAGCATCATTCATGAAGCATCAGCAAATATCAGAGCTGTCCCAAGAAGAGCCCCAACTGCTGCACTGCTCTGAATTTTCTTCGCCACTTCCTTTCCAGCACACACTCCCCTTCTGGTCTGTGTCCCTCTGCAACTTAGGTCCGCTCCTGCCAGGCGAATTGCTTGAAGCAACTCTTCTGCCAGCTTCCCCGCTGGCTTCTTCTCCTCTTCCTCGACCGCCACCTCTCCAACCGCCCCCCCCGTTCGACCGAGGACCGCCAATGCCGCCATACCACAGTGGCACCAAGAGGCCATTGGTTGACCTATCCCAGACACGACCTGTCTGGGACTGGGACTGCCATAGGACTGCCGCCCCAGAAAGACCCCCCAGTCAACCACCCCTGGCCGTTTCTCGGCAGTCCGACATGGCAGTCCCAGACGAGTCGTGTCGTGTCTGGGTATACCTACTAACATCCACCGAACAGGGATCCAGGCGGTGTTGCCATGATGGTGCCATGCGGGTGCCCCTGACCCATGTCGATCTGCATGACCTGCCGACACATCAGGGCAGGTCTGCTGAAGAGGAGACATGGTGCCAACACGTTGTCCAACATCTTTCAAGCGACTATAGTCTGGTTGGTGTTAGGGTCCAATCATCCCCAAGTAAGGGTTGAACATAAAATATCCGAGACCATCACCTAGTTAGTGTTGGCCAACCTTGTCGTTCCGGAGGCCACCCTCCACCCTTAGTGACAGGGCTCCGGAGGCGTCTTCGGGGTTCTGCCGAGCGAAAAAGACTCACCCGCCCCTGGTGTTCTGAAGTATTGCAAGACACTTTTGGAAAGCCAAAACACCACACAAAAAGGGATCAGACGTAACACCGGAACACAGGATACGTACTGCACCAACTCCTCAAGTTCTTCTTGCGGGTGGTGGCGATCCAATTTTCGTGGTCACCACATGCAGTGCATGAACAGCTCACTTACAGCGTCCACCTGACCAGTGCTCGGCATGGCTGTGCCATGATCCATGCCAGCGCCCCAGGTCATTCGCGCCATTAAGGGTCGTGCGGAGTAGAGATACCTCAGGGCATAGCATTGGACCAAAGCCCGATGGGAACCAAGAACTGGCCACGTGCAAATCACGAAGTCACAGAATGTCTATAAATACTGTGGGTATAGGTGGTGCAACTATACTAAAGGGTCCTGAAGTGTTAGGACTTGAAACCTTTTGGAACCTTTTTCCATTGTGGGACCATGGAACGAACCAACAAAACCATGCAAAACCTCGAACGCTTCGTGATGCCAATCACTGGAGCTTTGGAACGCTTTGGAACGCTTCCGGACCCTCCTCGAAGCGAAAAAGCCGAAAAACGAAGGCGAAAGCTGACCCTGTCATAGGTCCAATTCACTTTCGCCTTTTTGAAGGCCATCACTACTATAGGTTGGAGGCCATAGCTGGGGTGGAGTTGCTACTCAGTCGCCTAACAGGGCCCCAGCCTTTTCGTCGGAAGGAGGTCTCAAAGAAACATCGTTGCACGAGACTTCCTGAACTAAGTCATTTAGCACGTTTTCAGGCCACGGTCGGCACATGGCCCCCCCGACGAAGGACCCACCAATATGACCATATGTCACCCATCGAGGCCCGCCCCGTGTGGTCAGCGCGCACGGTCACGGTCGGTCAAGTGGCGTGTTGGTGGAGGGGGAGAGGTTGCTGGGGATCTGCGGCGGCCAGCAATGAAGCCAAATCTTCGCCAGCTCCGGCCACAGGAGCTTCACTCCTAAGCAGAAGTGCTGCACAGGTCGCGAGTGTGGGGGGAGGTGGATGGATGGATGGTGGGGAACGTTCGGGATGGGTGTGAGGGAAGCAAAGCAAATAAATGGTGAAACACCCAGTGGAGAGCTCCCTTTTGCGGCCATGTTGGATGCTTTCAATGCTTTCGATCTCGGGAGGAAGGGCGTTCAATCGAGCCGAGAAAGTCCCCCAAAGAGCAAAGATGATTAAATTCGGGCCCTCAAGGCACTTGATGCAGCTTCTTGGCACCCAACACCTGAAGCGCCTTGTTCCAGCCTCACTGCTTAAGAAACGAACCATCCGTTGAATGGTATGCTACCGGTACGTCGTGTTGATTCCTTAAACTTGACCAATTCCGACCGGCTTCATCTTCCGTGGAGAATACCACTCCGATACACACGTCAGGACCATCCAACACAGAATGCAGCTCGACGCTACGACTTCTCACACCGAATGCAGCAGGGTGGGTGCCCGGTGAATGCATCCCATCCGCTCCCATCGGTCGGCCAACCGTTGCACCGCGTCCCGAGACAGTCCAAGCATCCCGCGGAACGCGCTGCCGATACTGGCGGAGGGGATGCCGACGAGGACACCTCTGCTTTCTCCTGGAAGGCTGCAGGAAGTCGACTTAGGAAACCCACACGAAGATTCCATACATCCGAAAACCACACATATAGTTCCCAAGTGGAATCATCATCTGAATCTGTTTGCTGGCCGGCGAAAAAGAACAAGCAACTGCTTCTGAAAAAGAAACATGCGTATACAACTTACAACCACAGGTGGCACATTGTTCATGCCAGTGGGGTCTGTCACTACATCAAAGGACACACCAACGAGATCCAAAGAGAATGTCCACCAAGTGATTGAATATGATCCGCAAAGAGCAAAAAAGAATTGTTTGCAACCTGCTGGCAGTCAAATCAACCATAGGCTAGGTCTTTCAATCCAATTTTCCACGTGTCATCTGTGGTTTTTCATGGATCTGTTTCACCGACCGCGGGTTAACCGCTCCTTTCCGGCCTCCAGCTCGGCGGCTGCCTGACGCAAGCGTTGGAGACCTTCCAAGTCGGCATTGCTCAAGGAGGCGCCTTTGGAGGTGAGCTTCAGAACCTGAGAGGCGTGGAATTGGAGGAGCTGTGAGTGCCAGGTTGGACATGAGACCAGAAGATGAGGAGAAGGAGAAAGGGATGAAACATCAACTCAGTGACCCAGGTCAGCAGTGAGGAGGTTGTCTTCGAAAGTTCCCAATGACTGAAGAACGACTCGAATTGTGGCGCTGGATGGGCTGTTACAGCGTTGATTGGTGGAAGTTCAGCTGTCAACAAGAATAACTTCCATGAACGTGCTGTTTCTTGGTGTCAGGCGCTGATGAATTCCTTTGAGATTTTACTCCGTCAGGGCATTCTTCAGTAGATGTTGCTTTTTCGAAACCTGCTTCATGGTGAATCTTGGCAGAAGGTTGCTTTCTTTTGGTACCATTGTTTCGCAAAACTGCACACAAAAAGATGATATCAGAACCAAACATCACCATTTTTGTCTATATAACATACATGTACCATCACGTACTGTTTCTTTACGGAAGACATCTACGAGACGAACCTCTTCACACCACCTGGACCATCGATGCTACGTACCGTTCCGCCGCTGGGCGGAACGGTGGGGATGGGTTGTTGGCGTTCCGAAGCCGACCTGGGTTTTCAAGGTTTTCCTAGTAAAAAAAACGGGTTTGGGCATGTGAAAACCTCTAGTTTTCATGGTTTTGAGGGCCCTACAAGGCAGGTCCACTTTGATTTTTCAAGTCTTGGAAGGACATACACATCCCATGCAGCAGCATATAGTGTTCACTAGCGTACTCACCAATGAAGTTGGTTCTTGATCTGACTTCCTAGTCCTAGTGGAACAACTTGCTGGAAAAAAAAACACGACCCCATGTACAATGCGTGTACAATCCACCTGCTAGCTTTTAATGCCAACAATAATATATATATATAAAGAGAACATAAGTCCAACGCCGCAAGAAAGACTTGCCAGGACACGATATTGGTATTGCCACACCTCAGATCCATCAAGAAATGGCTGCATCGGCACCCAAAGGCCGAAACAGGTTGACGGTTGACCTCCTTAGCGTCGTCCATTCAGTTCGGTCTCTACCATACACTGGGGTGCCGAAAGTTGCGCTTCACTTCTAAAACGGGACAAACCCTTTTTTTAGAGGAAGAAGCGTAAACTTTAGGGTTTTTGAAGTGTAGGGGTCGTCCATTCAGTTCATGTTGGTCTCTACCATTCTCTATACCCATGAATCCATGAAGCAAAACACTGATCCTTTCGGATCGTCTCTGCATGGCGGTATGCACGTGGGAAAGTACAACCCCTGCGACCAAACGGACCACATGGACCACCCAAAACCGCTGGGTTGCTGGGTTGGGAGTTCTCAGAGTCCATCTTAGTCTACGGAAGAGGCGGTCTTCATGGTAAAAAAGGTAGCGATGCCCTTGTTACTAATAGCTTCTTGCTACTAGTAGTAATGCCCTTGTTGCTAGGTTACAAAGAAAGCCAGCTTGTATGATCTTGTATGTGTGTTCGAAGGAAGCTCTCCATAGAGATCTATAGAGATCGGCCTCAGAAATGAAGGGCAAAGTGCAACCCACTCTACAAAGCCTGATGATCTACACCCCACTCTCCAAAGCTGCATCCACAAGGAGTGCCACATGCAGTTGGCCACAAGTTACTAGTCCCAATCTTGCAAATGCTTTCTTGCTTTGGGGTCTATCGGCCGTTTTCGCGGGTGGAAACACGCCTCCACTCTCCACGCTGCTTTTTCGTTTAAAGTCCCAGGCGCCAGTGAGCCCACATGAGTGCTGAAAGATGGCTTGTGATCCTCAAATTGCACGCTTTCAAGGCGTCAAATACCAAGCTTCATGCGATGATATAGGAGAACAAGGAAAAAGGCTCCGGAGGTGATTGCAAAACAAATGCAGCACTCCCAGAAATGATCAAGAAAGTATACACTGCATGGCTTTGCCAGGTGGTGCCATCCACTTCCATGATGGTGTTCAAGGGAGTGTAACAGTGTAACCATCTGGTTGTCTGGAAGTTGCTTGCTCTTCTTGCATTTCAGCCATTTCTTTTTGGAGCTCTGACATTTCCATTGCGCACTCGGTGATCGGTCGAGCCTTGCGCACTCGAGAGGACTCGAGAGGACTCTCGTTGGGTGACATGCTCAGAAAACAGGCAAAAGAGCCACCATGGAGGCTGAACAAACCAACGGACTGGTTGCATCTCAAATGACAAATGTTCAATTTCTTTGATTCCCCTGCAAAACAGTAGTTATACATAGTTATACATAATTCAGACATATCGTTCCATCTGTTCAGCATCGGATACTCATATAATTCAGAAACAACTGCTCATGCAACAACAACCAAATCAGAACCGTATCCAAACAGGTGTTTATCTTCTGAAACACTTTGGCCCAATGATTTTCCCCTTTGGTCGATGCCCGGTACCCGTGATTTATGACGGGGGGGGGTCTCCCCTCAATCAACTGTCGCCTCGGGCTGGGCTTGGCATCTGAGACTCTGCACTTGCTTTGCATCCGCCGAGAGCATCACATCAACCAGGGCTTCTTCTCCAGAATAGGCCGCCAAATTCAGCAGGCCTTGGGTCAGCACGGTGTCTCGCTTTCGAACACATCGGCACCAGGCGTGGCAAATTCCGATCTTGGATCTCCAGTATGTCTTCTTTCCCTGAGTCATCAGTCTATCTTCTATGTCATCTATCGTCTATCAGTCTATCAGTCTATCATCTATGTCATCTATGTCCATTAATTCATCAGTCTATACTATGTCATCTATCATCTTCTCACATCATTTAGGATGGACGAGAATATATTCCACCGACCCTCCGTTCCCGGTAAAGTCCAGCTATAGAAATCTGGCACCATAGCAAAACGGTCTCCCAAACACGGGACATACGCGTGGAGAAAGGATGGTTCTCGGGGTTCTATAGAGAAAACATCTGTCTCAAACATTCATCAACCTGATGTGTAAGAACTCAACCTCACTCAACTCCTTTCCACTAGTAGGCCAGAGTAGGCCAAGACATGTGTTTCCAATTACTGAGTTGGGAACATCTCCAAATCCGACCAATGAGTGTCTAGTGAAGGTGCACGAACGCAGTGTTTGCAGTGTCTTTGCAGCAATCAAAAGATCCATCACACATCACCAAATGCAAAGTAAATCACTCCTTTTTGAGGTTCCAAGTTTCGCAATGGACTACACCTAGCTAGCATGCACCCCCAGCTTGACATGAAATTTGAAAAACCCTGAATGTTTACATCTGGGATCTGCATAAAGCCATGAACTCCGCTGCCAAAAGACTGAATCCACGAGAATCGCTCACCAGGGGGTCTGCCTTCCGTTCGAGGGCCAGGGCAACCGCCTGGAAGCAGTGGAAGCTTCAGACGAAACGAAAAGCACGGTAGGTGGAAGATCAGTTTTTGCATCAAGTTGCCTTCTTTTTCAGAGTTCATGTGTGTACCGATCAACTCAAAAAGAAGGGGGTTGGCTTTTGTGTTTCCCATAGCATATGACTTAGACAGTTGGGAAGCTATGAATCTCGGAGCTCTCCTCCAGCTCAGGAGGTCTGCGGTTCCACCAGTGCAACTCGCGACATGGTCTCGGAGCCGCCAGGACCGCCGGGTTTGGCATCCTCAAAGAACCGTTGTCTCCCCGGAACTCACATGGAAGTGGCAAATGGTCCACTGGAAGACCAGGGAAGCCTCTGACAGATCAAGGTTGCCATTCACTTCCGTTCCGAGGGAGGGGATTCACCATCAGCCTCATTGCTGCTTCCCACCTCATCTAATAGCTACAAATCTGAGAAGCGGTCATCGAAAGACCCTATAGAATGCTGGTGAACAAAAGGCAACTAATCACGGTTGATCCACAAATATCGTTAACCACAACGCCGACAGGTGGCCAAACCACAACGCCGACAGCAAGGAACAAGGAAAAACAAAGACCCCATGACCCCAGCAAAGGAGAACGTCAACCAGTCTCTCCTATGAAAATTTGGGTGCTTGCGCCAGAAGCTTTGGGAACAAAATGGACATTCCTCGTTAATGTGGGTCTTGTCGCAACCCGCCTCTTTGTGGGCTTGGCAGTTTCACCTCTTCGATCCTCTTCGTAACATGGGCTCCCCACGCACAGGATCATATTATCTTCCACAAGTCGTGCAGCATGGGAGTCTTTAAACATGTTAGACACATTCCCATGTCTTCATTCACATCAGTTCAACTCTCATCAGCCGTCTTCCTTTGGAGGCCATCGCCTCCTTTGGGCCGTGGATCACGTCCCTCCCCCCCGCACGCGCCTCATGATGACTGCTCTGCTCCGCGGCCGCGGCCGCCAACGCCTTCGATTGGTCCGTGCGGCCAAATCACTGGCATCGTCTGATCGAGTTTTCGGCCCCAGAACAAGGGGGCAAGGTCCAAACAGGTCCAAACCCATCCAAACCCGCCATCTTCCAAACAAAAAACGAAGACACATCGCTTTGAAGGTGCTTTCGAGACGAAGGAGTAGTAAGGAGTAGATCCATAGGAGTCGAAGGTTTCAACTAACACGTTTCAATCCCGATCGAAGAACCGCTTTCCTGACCTTTGAAGCCATGGCCACCTCCCTTTCATCCCTCCCCATCCACTCGACTTCATGGGCCTTCACTTCACCACCGCCCCCCCTGAACCCCCCTGGACCCACGGTCCACATGGTCCACGCTTCTGCGACTCGAGCCACGCTGTAAATCTGCGGTTTGATCGCGATCCGCAGCGTGGTCGGCATCAAGTCCAAGGCGGTCTGACCGCGGTGGTTGGGTGCCATCACCGTGCTGGGCGGCAAGGTCTTGAGCAAGCCCTGGAAGAAAGCCTCGGCCGGCATGAACAAACACGATCACCATCTGCTGGGTGAGCCAGGTGTGGCTTTTCTAAGAAGGTTCATGAAACGAAGAAGTGCTGAGCGTTCAAGGGTTGAGAGAGCTTCTTCCACCAACTTCTCCCAACTTAACCCTGCACAGAAGCCCTACAACTTCCCAACACATCCCTTCACCTTCTCTCCTTATCTCTCCTATCTTCCTTTTTTTGGTTCGCACACACCGACCTAAACCCGCGCCCCGCATCGGCATCAAACCCCCGCGTCCACACCGTCAGCACAAGCCCGGCGCCTCGCAGAGGCCGCCCACGGCGGCGGCCAGGTGCGCCACGGTGGACCCGGGCGCCAAGCCGCAATGGCTGCAGCCCTCGTCCGAGAGCGGTGCTCCCAGGGCCGCCTCGTCGCCTAGCTCAGAGTTGATGAAAACAAGTTCACCCAGTCCGCAGCTTTCACATCCACTCAAACACGCAAACTTAATAGTTGTATTGCCCTCATTCAATCAAATAATATATATCAAACATTACTTTGTGGGGGTGACTGTGAAGAACCACATTGGCCATCTTGACAGTAAGAGACCTCAAGTATCCTCAAGCACCCATTGCTTCAGCTTGGAGTCATTGAGCAAGAAAACCGTGACCAGCGAAGAGAAAATACCCCGACAATCATGGAAGTGGATGGCACCACTTCTTGGTATTCGGAACATAGTCTTCCATTCAGGGGGCAGGACGTCCAATTCCATGAGGACGTTGGAGGGAGAGTATCAAAAGCTCGCAGGAAAGACCTGCGAGGACCGTCCTCGAGAACGAAGGGGAACGAAGTGGTTCTTCTGTTCGATATTGTTCGATAAAAAGAAGTGGATGATGGCCATCCTTAAATCTCTTCACCCATATATTACTATATAACTTACAATGCATGCTACACATAGCTCATATCTCCAAACTATGCAATCATATGACCCAAGAATTTCAGGTACCCAAGCTCGACTACTTAAGCTCGTCAGCCTATCCAAGAGGTGACCAGGACTTGGCCCATCCTTCAAAGCATCCATGGGCACTACGTCTAGGGATCCAGTCGTACCTTCTCAGGTTTTGTACGACTGGACCCTCCTGGCATACATAAAAGTGTCGAACACGTCACCGTACCTGAGAAGGTATGACTGCATCCCTAGGGTACCGTTCTTCGTCCCAACATCGCCTACCCTGTACGCTCTAAGTGGCAGTGTGACAACAGCAGGCAGGCCTCAGCTGAAACCATGTGTATCCATAGCCACGTCGAAATCAGCCGCAGTTGAATGCATGAAACAGAGAGTTGCTCGATGCCATAAGTGTGACAACATGAATGAGCCATAACTTGGTGCTCTATTCTACGATTCTATATTATAGACTCCGTGTTTAAGGGTAATATACGATAAAACATGATTGAACATGATTAAACAGGTATACCCATATCCAGTGACTATATAAAACTCTCCTAACCACCCGCTTGCACTTGACTACACCATCTAGGCTGGGGTCGGCAAAAAAAACAAAATCCAAAGAGAGGAAAATATCTGTGGAAACTCAACCACCCTGCGAAGTGATGTCTTCTGGAACGTACCGCTATGACTGACATCATGCGAGGTCACCAAATTTGCTACTGACGATTCCCTGACAGCAAGTGAGTACCTTGAAACGGAAAGATGCAGTGCGACCGACTGGTGACAAATTGTGACATATCCCAAACGTTCCATGTATGACATATTTATCTACCTAATGACATTGGAGTGGTTGAAACAGGGTCAATGTAGTTGAATATCTGCCGGTCCCATGGACTGTCAGACGGGTGTCCAAAACGGCTCGTCCGTTCAGCGCGGCTCGTCCGTTCAAGACATCGCTCCGTCTGTGTCTTTTCTTCGGTAAGGATCCATTGAGTGCTGCCGGGAGATGAGCGCCACTGCCACCGGTGACAAGCCCTGCACGGTGGCATCCGGCGAGCACGACTTGGATAACCTGGGCGAAGAGGCGGAGTCCAGCTGCGCTTCGCGACGCGAAAGCGAAGCCCCAGCTAGGGATCCGTTGTCGTACCTTCTCCTCAGGGTCGGAGGCGACTGGAGGTTGTGGCGCCTACATCACAGTGTCGAACACATCACTCCAATCACCGTACCTCAGAAGGTTACTTGGTCCCTAAGGTAAAGAAGGATCCAAAACACAAAGTGCTTGGGAATGGTCCAGGATGTGTGGACAGGCCAGTGGAGCTCACAAGAGGTGCAGCATGGTGCGACAAGGGTGTTCATTCTCCACTTTCTCATGGACACATGCTCTTGAATGTCATGAAGGCAGAGCGGCAGAGCGGCAGGTGCAGCTGGTGAAATCACTATGTTGACTGGCAGTGAACTTGACTATGCCATCATCATCCAGAGACCTTGCACCCTATGCCATCACCAAGGAAATGCCAACCTCCTCACTGGTCGGGTCGGTTGGCTTGTTCTCCACCCAGGCTTGGGACGGTTGATAAAATGGTTGATATGTTTTGAAAGGGGATATGTTTATATGTTTTTGAGTGTTGATATGTTGGTATGTAGAATTGTTGTTGAACAATTGTTGATATGTATTGAGTCTTCAAAGCCTTGGACGTGCTTTTGGAAGAGTCGTGGCAGTCGTCGCCGACTTTGAGGATTGTTGTTTTGAGGGTTTGGTTTGAGGTGAACCATCTCCCCGACTTTGCAGGGTTTGAGGTTGATTAGGAATTGGTGGGTTGATCCGGGTTGATCTTTCAGCTGTCTTCACGCCACTGGTGAAATGCTCTCCTCCCAGCTCGGCCAGCTCGGCCGCTCAGACCACGGGTTGGCCCCCCCAGTGATCGGGCGCTGGGGTGCTTTAGGCGATCCACGGTGCCGGGAGGCCACCCAGATCGGACCTGGTGACCTACCGAAAACCCCCCCCCTGTCATCCGAAAGTAGGTCGATCCCCACGAAAATCGAGAAAGTGTTGGAAACCCGTGATCAACGGTCCTCTGGATGGGGATCACTATACTTGGATCAGAGCAACATAGAGCTGTAGATATAGATGAGATCTCTAACCGGCTGCCAAATGAACCAAACCAAACTCTGCGAAAGATGTCCAAAGAACAGTCATGAACGGATCAAATCAATCTTAAACTCCTCAATCCAGCATGTTGAACCAAACATTCTGACTAGACTTCAAACACCCTAATCCAAGGAGAAATTAGCAACCCATCTGAATCAAAACCAACAAGACCACATCGGAAAAGCAAAAAACAAAACAAACCAAATCAAACCAACATGCCAAAATCATTCCAAAACAACAGCATTCAATACGGCTGCTCAAAATTGCTTAAACAAATAAATAAACCAAATTATTGGATGAATCAATGGATGAATCATCTCACACACCTGAAAAGGACCAACGAATAAACTTCACATAAACATGGAAAAACAAAACTATGAACAACTCCAGCCACATCCAGCAGAGAAATCCCTCGCCGAGCCACAGGTAGTTGGCCACGTCCGTGGACCCCCCTGCCGCCGCGAAGTGCAGGGCCCGACTGCTGCAGGAGCCGTTCTCGATCAGAAGCTCCACGATGCGCAGGTGGTTGTGCCTCTCCGCTGGTTGGTCGGACGGCCGGACGAAGACAGTCCGACGAAGACAAACGGTGGGACTGGGGCGACTGGCGCAGCATGCCGTACTTTGCACAGCATGTAGCCATGCACACCATGTAGTGGCCACTTAGGCATAGCAAAGGCATAGCAAACGCCTGGCGTGGGGGCTGGGGCCCCAAGTAGCCCCGGGGCATGTCACAGACACCTGCAGGCACCTGACAAGGATCAGCAAGCAGATGCAGCGTGCATTAATGCATCGACATCGACGCTGATCACCAGGTCACTCAAGTCTTTCACCCCCCCTTCCACCAAAACCGACATTTGCTGGTGCAAACTTAAGCCATGAGCAAAAACCGCACGACAAGCTGCATCGCTGCAGGACGGTAGTAATTAACCAGTAAACTCAGGTGCCACTTCAGGCTATTTCTACCATTCTACCTGAGTTTTGACTGTTCAGAAGCCATACCCAGAGTGGAGGTAGAATTTCATTGCAGCTAATGAGCTAATGCAGCCGGCAAAATCACAAGGGAGTTGTGCAAACCTCCGAGTCCTTCGCTCCAAACCTGGAGATTTTCCGCGAATTCGGAGCTGTGCATGCTGCGGGTTCGGGGGGTGCCCAGTGGGGTTTTCATGCAGGAGGTGACTCCGGCGGACCCCTCCATTCACTATGTTGGGTGGCCAAGTGGGCCATATGTTGGCCTACACAAGATCCGAATGCGCCTGAAAGGTGAGCGGAAATTGGCTTCAGAGCCAAAGCCCGGTGCCCAACAGGCTTTCCTGATTTCCGGGTAACGGGGGTCTGAAGAGAGCCTTGACACATTGAGGCGCTCTGAAGACGGGTGGGAAAATTCACTGACCTGCGTCCTGCGATGCAAACACTCCATGGGACTGCCACTGGGACTGCCATAGATGCCGATCAATGGACCCCCTGGCACCACCCCCTGATCAATGCTCGGCAGTATATGGCAGTCCCAGAATGGGAATAGTGCCGGGCGCCAGTGCTTTGGCAGGTCATGCCATGTCACTCCCATGCCATGCACCGAAGCACTTCGGTGCATCGCTGCAGGCTCTTGCGGAGTGTCCACATCGCCTTTGGGGCGGGGAGCGCGAGTGAAGCCCTGCTAGCATCCCCATCCTTGAAGTGCATGCTGCATTGCGAAAAAAACATGGGGCAATCCAGCTTGGAGCGAAGCAATCAGCTTGCATGTGAAACGTCTCCTCCAACGAGCTCACCAGCGGTCATTCAAGGTTTGCCAAAGACCTACCTGGTACCCCTGAAGAGTGATAATTATCACTCCGTTTTGTAATTATCAATCTTTTGGACACTGGTGTGACAAAAAGCACTCCGGAGTGAGAATAGTTGCTCCAGAATGGTTTTTGTTGCTCCGCAACATATCTTGAACGCAAAGCGAACGTTGATTGAACGCAAAGTGAACGCACTGCGAACGCAATCTGAACGCAATTGCGGTTGGACTGATTTTTTCCACTCCGGAGTGCTTTATGTCACACCACTATCCAAAAGATTGACAGTTACACAACGGAGTGATAATTATCACTCTGCAGGGGTACCAGGTACGTATGCATGGCTCTCTGATTGCACACTCCTTGCATGCAGGTTTTGTGCCCAAAACCGGTCCAATGGACAGGCTAAGCCTCTACGTATCATTAAGCTGATATAATATTCGAAGAACATGCTGCTCTCTTCCGGAAAGAACACGGTTCTTGCCGCCCTGCTGGGCTCTTTGCCACGCGTCCCGTGACGTTCCGGTGACATGCTGGGTTCTTGGCTCGGACCTTAGGGCAAAACATTGCCTTGCTGACACACTGTGTCCTGGTTGATGAGCACCTGCACAACGACTGCCTGGCTCTGGCATTCGAGGTGCCTGATGGCGGGCTTCTGCCAGTGTGCAGTGCCTTGCCACGCAGGTAACAAACGCTTCGTCTCGCCACATTCAGCCAGCTGCCTTGGCACTTGCATTTGTGCAGCATTAACCAGCGCCCATGCTGCCCTTCTGGAAGGCAACGGGGAAGTCGCAGTCACGACGCCAAAGCAAAGGGACTTGATCAACAATATCAACAAACATTTAAAACCCGAAGCTCAAGATGCTCAAGGCACAGGACCTTGGTGTCGCCTGTCAAATGGCCAGCTTTGCTGCCCAGCACGCCAGGGCAGCCCAGCAAGAAATGATGGGCGATCTTTCAACAGGAAACAAACGTTGAAGTCTGGAAATCTGATCCAAAAATGGATCGGAAAAAACACTGTGAACGTTCCAGTTCTTTTCGAAATTCTTTTGGGTGCTTTCAATGTCTGAAACCTTAGTTTCCCTTCCACCCCGGCGCCTAGCGGCCGCCTCCACCGGCAAGATGGGCGGCTGTCCACCGGGCACGTGGGGCGACGCGCCGCGCACGTAGAGGAACTGAGCCGCTGGGAGGTGGCCGATCGCCGCCGCTAAGAGCCTAGGAGCAAAAGAGGTGGACTTTCTGAAGATTGATGAGTCAATTGAGTGTGTGGACTAGTGTGTGTATATGCTATTGACCATGAATATACTATGAGTCAATGAATATATGAGTCAATGAATATATGTACCAGCAGTCACAAGACGGGGTGCTATCGATGGAGGTTTGGGGTGCCCAGCTACTCCACTCACTGGATGGGACTAAATGCCACTCCTTTGTGACTCCTGGTAATGCTTATTGACCAGGTGAGAACAACCCAGCTCCTGGGCCGTCCCCTCCGTTTCGTTGGGGTGGGACAGGGGTGGGTGGTCTAGGGGGGTCTAATCACCGAACCTGAGGATATGGGGACAAGAGCCCTAGGTATGATGAGTCAATCCCTAGGGGTCGACATACCTTCTCAGGTTCGAATGCGACTGGACCTGACAATTGGCACCGACGCAACGGTATGTGGATCCCTAGTGTAATGCTATCTGCCAGGTGAGGAGCATCGGTTGAAGCCCCTACTTACATGATATAGATATGAAGCGAATGAGTGCGGGATGGACATTCATTCGCCCCCAAAGCAAAAAGGTCAAAGAGGGCATTCTCTGGGAAAATGGATGGTTCAGGCGTTCTGAGGAGGATTTGGAACTTGCAGCCTGGTACAGGGCTGTTTTCGCCATCATGACCCATGACTATGTGGGTCTGGTCTGGCAGAGTTCTATGTTTCTCACACCCCAAAGAAAACACCTTGACAATGGACAAACCGGACTTCCTCAGATCCTCTAAGGGCCGGTACGGGCGGGGCCTTTTCCAAACCCCACCGCTCAAGCCCGCTGAGGCGCAAGGGTGTGAGCCCGAAGGGAGCGGTATCCGGTGGAAGACCACGATCCAACAAGAGGCCCAACTCGGCAAGTCCGTGTCGGTACTCCTTCGAGCAGAACTGGAGAAAACGGCGCGAAAGCGATTTCGCGTGCGCTTTGGTGGGATGGGCAGGGCTGGAAAGCGGACTGCACAGTGGTGGACTGGGGCATGTGGATGGGGAAGCCACAGTTGGAAGAGTCATTAGGAGTTTGTTGGTCTGTTTTCAAGACTTGTTGACCTGGAAGAGCGCGCTACCAGCTTAGATTGCAATGTTACAACCCAGTTCAATGAGTTCGAATGTTTGCGTGTCTGGTTGGCACGCACAACTGGTGCGTGGGTCATTAGGCTCACCATGTCAAAAACACCAGCTTCGGGACCCCTGAAGAAAACAAGCAATCCATCTCTGAACCGAGGGAAGTTTGGGCCAGCCCATATGGGGAATCGCCATCTTCCAACCAACAAATCAATGAATGTCGTCTTTGGATAGGGACGTGTTAATGGCGGAGGAGGCATGACGCACACTTGGATTTGTGGAAGGTTTCTGGTATCGAAAAATGCTATGCAGTGCTACCAGTACAGTCCGACAAAGAACGAACTTTTCTGATTGCGTCTTTGCTGCGGCGCATTCTTCGTACTTTGGGGCAATTCGTAAGGCAATTCGTCTTTATCATCGATCATGATTGGTAGTCATGACTACTCACTCACCTGGTCACAAGTTTACATCACTTCAGCACTTCAGATTGTGGGTCGGAGCATAAACAAACAAATAGGACACGTCCTCGTTGGACAGGGCGATCTCAATGCGCCTGCGGTTCGGATTGGTAGGATGGTAAGGGGATGATATAGGATTCACCAATGGGTACATGTGTCTTTGCATGTGTGTCACAGCCCATTGAGGGCACAAGCAACAATGAGCAACCCTCATTTTCTGGTGCTCAAACAAGTTATATGCTCATTTGCTCATTGATCCCATCTTTTACTCCTCCACTTATCTTGAAACCCAAGTACTTCCACACAGCATCCACCAAAGCAATATCAACCAATTTCCGACCATCACAGCCCCATACACCGACACGATCAAACAGTGCACAACGTGGAGTTCATCCACCTTTCAACACGGAACTGACAACAACCACGACCACGACGTCCACCACCATGACCAGCACCTCCAGCTGTGCCGCTGCGCCGCCGCGCTCATCTCCGCCGCCGGAGGCGGCGGCGCCCAAGGCGCCGCGAGCGGCGGCGCGCCGGCGCGGAGGCGGCGCTGCTGGGCCCAGCGGAGGACGAAGCGGAAGATGCGCGTGGCCGCCAGCAGCTTGACCTGATGGCCAACAGCCAGTGAAAACTCTGAAAGAAGTGTTCAGTATGCAAGTTAACTGATAAAGACTCTTAATGTTTGCTTGCATAATGAGAAACTGCTTCGACATGTTGAGGATGTGGGGTCCTACCTGCTAGGTTAGGTGAGATCCGCTCTTCTGCTGGGACGGCAATGAAGTCATCTTGCTGTATTTCGAACTAGGTACTTACAGTATCTTACGGTGGTTTCAGAATAGATGCCACTGGCACCCAAAGATGTCTTAGACAGATGGGGGTCTATATCAATACTTTGCCGAAACTCGTAGTAGCGCAAGAGAACAAGGCACCGCAGGGTGATTCCGTCTATACTGTGTTGTTCCTTAATGAGGGGCCTTCTCACCAACCAATGATTAAATTGTGACATGTCGATGGATGGACATGGCAGTCATAGACCCCCAGCGCTCCTGTCCCAAATCCTCAGGTTCGGTGCTTAGACTTTCGCACCCACCCCTGTCCCATCTTCGAAACGGGGGGGGGGGGCCAGGAGCCCTGCAGTAGGGTGGCTCCGCACCAAGTCCACGGCGGCTAGTTGACAGTCGGACAGGATCCCTGAAACAGCATGAGCCATTCTGCAGGGAGACTTGAAGGGAGTGATCGGTTGTCCGTTTAGCAGTAGGTTTCCTCTGGGTTCACCAACTCCGCCTTGTTGTGTCACGGCAGGAGATGTTGGTGTACTTGGCATCCTCTTATTCTGGGCTAATCCTTTTTGGTGCTCCAAATCGCCGGGCCCCTGTTCCCATGACTGCACTTGTCACCTGTCATCCTCTTGCTCTCATCTCGAGCACCGAAACCGCTAAAGAACATACCTCGAATTCGGAACATCTCTAGTACGACCGTACCATGTACGTCAAGCTACAGCCTGGGGCGCCACTTGCCACGAGACCCTGGACATGGCATTGTAGAAGTTCGCGTGGTTGTAGCTTGGGCAAGATGCACCTCACAGCCATCGCCAGGAACGTCGTGGTGGACTCCCCGAACGTCTCACGAAAAGACAAAAACTGGCTCGAAACAAACCCTATAAGTAAACAGGCCAAACACGGGCAAATGACCTACATTGATCCCTGAAACCACCCCCTAACTGATCTGGCATATGGATGGCAATTTACGGAGTGTTTAGGAGTATATGATGCATTGGCATATGGATGGCATATGGATGCATCTGTTCCGGTCAGGACCGGCAGGTGGATTGGGCGGAGACTGGGCGCGCCTCAAGGGATCGACCGGTGAAGTCCTCCAGGTCAGTGCGATGATCGACCAGGATCCTGGTAGATCATCCCGAGACGAACCAAACCACCCAACTACAGGTGAATCTTGGTATATGATCTGTATGCTCTTGAGAGCTCTTGATAGGCTCTTGGTACTTTTTGGGGTAGTGGTGGCATCCGAGATCCAAACTCAGTAACTGCCCAGCAAGGACCGCCTCGCAGGAGTTCCTGCTTGCAAGTTCAGCATGGTTAAGCTACATCACTTAGGCAAACGTCACCATCTTGCCGACCTTAACATATCTTCAACACCCAAATGGCCACCACACACGTGGCCAATCACACAAACATCTCAGCTATAAAACCCGGTCTTGTTCGTCTCGCACCACCCGGTCGGCTCCAAAACCCTTCCGGGTCCGGTCCAGCCAAGGTGCGCAGCAAGAAGCTCGTCAAGAAGCTTTTGAAGTCCTGCATCGTCTCGCTGCGAAGTCACTCAAGACGAGGAGGTTTCTATACAGATGTCGTTGGGTCCAAACGAGCGAACTTGGTTGCGAACGCATCAGCTACGCCGCTACGCATGCCGCATAAGCTAGTCCTGTCATGTTTAGTCACGTTTAGTCCATCTCATTGGGACTTTCATGCCGTCACGGAGTTGATCCCAATGCTCCATGCTCCACAGGATGGAAGATCATCCCAACAGAATTGAAGCACCTCATGGAACCGAACGCAACCACATGCACTCCAACAACTTTGCATAACCTTGCATCCACATCCGGGTGGCTTTTCCTCTCCCAGAGCTACTCAGCTACTCACCTTCCCTAACCTCAAACCCAGCTCCCCAGCTCCCCAGCTCCCCAACCCCACCGCGGCGGCACGCGCTCCGCCCAACGAGGAGCGCCCTCGCGACCGTGGACCGTCCTCGGGTTGCGCCACGCGCGCGGTGCTCAGGAGCTTCTTCTCCAGCTCATCCAGCAGACGCTCCGTCAGGCGCGGGTCGCTCACCCCCATCGCCTGAGAGGACGTCTAGAAGGTGGAATGGAGTGATCAGACGTCACGGCACGGGTCGGGTCGGGTTTCGAGGGTTTAAATGGCCAGGTTGGGAGTTTTTGTTGAGATTTGGGGAAGGGATTTGGGGAAGTGGTGTGAGGCATTCCGTGGGTGTGAAGATTCCAGCAGTTTCCAATGGTAAGTGGGGTGGCCCAAAGACGAAGATTCCTAGAAGTATGGGACTGGTGATGGTCTTCAGGTACTTTGATGGTTCTCTTCATGTTCAATGCATGAGCAAAGGATAGCAAAGGAAACAACACTGAAAGACAGGGAAAAAAGATATCTTGCAAGCTGTGGTAGCCAATTTGGTGATTTCTGGATGCGTTTGCTGAAACACTTACTGCGGATCCACCGGCCCACCGGTTGGTGAAACGACATGTTTTTGTCGTTTCGTGGAAGAAAGACATGGCCGTTTCAGGACAATGGTGCCGGTTTCAAACCTCCATGGTCTCCAATCTTCAACACGAACACGCTGAAAACTGTTGCCCAAACGGGCTCCCTTTAAAAGTGTTTGGGGTGGGTGCCAGTAGGGTCCTGTCATACCGAACATGAGGAGGTACGAAAACGGAGCCCAAACGGGTTGCCGTCTCAGCCGTCTCAGGGGGATCGAACGACTCGAGCGCCGAACGGTCGTCACGTCGCGCGATGACGTGCAGCGTGGCTTGTGCCGTGACCGTCAGCCGCGACGACTGGTTTTGTTAATTGCAGGAAATACGTTTGACAACAAAAAACACACGTGTTAAACAGCTAAAACGTGCCATTCCGTCAATCAAAAAAGGTCACATATTCTTTTCTGGAAGCAGAATGGCTTTGCACCAGGAAGATGCAGCGTTTTCCATGCCGATTGCTGGCGGGCTCTAGTCGCGGTGAGTAGCACACCTCCGACCGGCTGCCCACCATCCAATCTGACTTAGTTTGAAAACGAAACCAAGTCAAGCTTTCTCCACTTCTTCTCTTTGTCAGGAATCTAGTTCCCCCAATAAAGGATTCAAAAAAGTCGGTGAACCACTCACCAGGTAGGACGACCGGGTAGGATGCTGAAACAAACATGGAAGTGGAGAAAAAAAAGAACCTAACAGAGACGTCCCGTGCTTTCCAGGGGCGAAAGCACATCCACATCATCCACAAAAACATGATCCTTGCAGGGACCCGAAGTATTCCATGCAAAAAAAACTGATGCCGGCGCTTGTTTCGATCTGCAAGACGGACTGCATAGTCGGATGAGTTGGCTTGTAGACTGGCACCAGACCGCACGGGTTGAAGTACCTGCTGTGGGTCATTTGGTGTTGGACGTTATACCAGGTGGAATGACCCAAGGCTCCAACCACATCCTCAGAAGGTAGTAGTAGTAGTTAGACGGTTAGATCCCCCAAACCCACCCTAACCACCTTCTCAGGTGATTGGACCTCTAGAGGATTTACAGTACCCTCCCACTTCAGCCAAGTGCACCAAGGTGGGTGAGTACCCGATCTGCGCGCGGGTCCGTGCTCCACTACCACCGCCCGACACCGCGCGCATCAGCGCAGGGGGTGCGCCAGCAGCAGTGGGCGCCTGGCAGCCAGTTGACCAGCAGAACGGTTGGATAGTTCCCTAGGGCTCCTGTCCCATATCCTCAGAAGGTGGTTAGACCCGGCACCCACCCTAACGGCCTTCGAAACGGAGGTAAGTAGGAGCCCTATAGAAATGTTATGTTTGTGTATTAACATTTCATATGTCTTTGTTGATGACATTGGAAATCGGACACTCCAACTTCAAGAGGCTCAAAATCTTGAGCGGCCCCTAGCTGTTGGAAAGGCCTGGACCGGTGATGAAGCCCTTGTTTGGATGAAAGTGCCCTCAGAACCTGTACCCGCTCGGGATTCGCCATGAGAGATACGGCAAAAATAATGTATAACCTGGTCTGTATTGATTTCTGTAGGGGGCTGCGGAATTTGGTCCAAGGGACCATAGAAAAGATTGTACAAAATAACAAACTACAGGTTTGAACAGGTACAGGCTGCAAATCACACACATGGATTTGCTGTCTAGGGCTTTGTATGGAGGTGAGAGGATTTTTGTTTGGACAACAAATCATCGGATCATCCAAGTACAAACGACTGGGCTTTGAGAGCATGCATCCCGGATCCTAGGTCCTCATTGCTGGGCTGCACTTCGCTGCAAAGCCACGACGAGGGGCTTTAGGCCATGGGGACAGCTTGGTCCCGTTGTGCTTCAGACCGTGCCAGGAATATCACTTGGATCGGTGACCTCGTGAACATCCTGCACAGCTTCGGCCCAATTGAAGGTCCCCTCTAAACAGCTCCACCGCCCACCGACCGACACGCATTCGGCGCCAACTAGCGCGAGCTCTCGGCCTTGGCAGAGATCGCTCGCTGTAAGGCCGGTGGACCGGGTGGTGGCAAGCGTCTTGGGGCACTGGTGGCAGCCTGGTTCCGAGTGCGAGTTTGTGGAGTTGTGCAAAGCGATCAGCATCAAATCTCCAGCTTAGACCTGGATCTGTGGAGATTGTGGAATCCCTCGGCCTCAACTGGGAGAATCGATTTCTATCGATTTCTCCTGATCTTCTCCTTCTGCCTCGGGTTGAGCGGTCTCGTGCGATGTGTCTGAGAACGACCATGATCACTCGCTATAGCCACCATCACTCGCTATACCCCTATGGGCTTCGATGGATCCTATAAAGATCTTCGTGGGAGACCCAGCTGAGATACATCAAGAACCATGAAAAGAGGCTTAATAGGCTGAGCCGTCGGTTGTCACCCTCAATCATGCTCAATGAAGCATTTGGTTGCGGGTCAGATTCAGAGGACCCAGCTTGACCAAAGGACACGAACAGAATCCTACTTCGAATAGACTACCAGCACTACTACTAGACTACAAAACGAGCATCCTCCAACACGTGGACCAGGTAACACGTCGGCTCCCCAGCACCACCGGCCCGGACGCCCATGGTCGCCACGCCCCGGACGACGCGCCTGGCATCCGGTAATCAGCTCGTTATACAAGAAGGATGCCTCAGACCGAGCGGCGAGGGTGGAGTCTGAAGGATGGGAGCCCTGACCTCTTGGGGGGGGGTTCTGCCATCTATCTACTCTGAAACCACTGCATCATCTGTGGGAGTCTCCCCTTCTCAAAGCACCGAGTTTACAAGTAAACCAAGTCAAGAGAGGTTAAGTGACCTTATAAAGGACCCTACTGGGGTACCTATGGGATAGTCTATAGGGTCATTCAACTCTGTTGGAATCAAAGGCCTCCAGAAATGAAATTCGTTCTCCGGCTGAAAAGAAAACACATGTTTCCGCTCAAAGCGCCGCCGATACGTTCCGAAAGCAGCTGTAGTCGCACCCATGGCATGAACACTCTGTCGCTCGTCGCACGGTTGCAGCCGCGTCAGCGTCTGTCCCAAACGGGGTTCCATTTGCGGATGGACACTCTAAACACCAAAGAACGGCATCCTGGGCATGAGTGTCAATGTGGGTTACTGACTTGGGGATGGTCAAGTTCCCCAAAGAACTGCAATGCTGAAAGGCACCAAAGAGCTTGGCCATTGGGATGGTCAAGTTTGCCAGGGAGCTGCAACTTGCAAAAGGCACCTTCCCCAATTCCCCAATGTGGGTTACCGAGTCTGGGGTGGTCAACTTCGCTATAATGTGCTGCAACCGCGGTGCATGCATTTTCGCCCATTCGAGTTTCGTCACTTGGGATTTCGACCGCGAAACCGGCGCAGTTCTGAGTTGACGGCGCCCAGACTCGCCTCTGTGTTGGAGCATATGACCCTGTTCGGCTGAGACTCACCACATCTGCAGTATGTCCCGCCTCCAAAGCCTTTGCGTCATCGGGCACTCTTCGGCTGTCGATCGGCTGGTCCCATCTCCCCGGGCACGTCCTGGGTTCGTGGACAGCTCGAGCTCCCAAAGGCTGTCCTTCTTTGATGTGGTGCTTTAGTTGCCAGCCTGTCAACTCTGGCGTGACTTCCAGGACCATCCTTTCACCACTTGGCTGCAACATGACACTCTTCACGTCTTAACGCTCCGAAGCCTTGACGAGTTTCAGCCAGTTTCATCTCTGGCCAATGTCTGCTTTCTTGCTAGCCTCCCGCAACTTCGTTGTGGACTTGACAAGTGTGTCTTCAAACATATCAGCTCCTCTTTTTTTGACTTTCTCGCTATCTCTGACCGGGGCCGCTAGCGAAGATATCAGCCCCTCATGCAACAACATCAACCATTAATGGACCAGTGGTCACGCGATCCTGTGAGCGACGCCGAACAAATGCTCGTCGCAAGCTGGAAGCGAGTGGTGCAAACGATGCAAACACCGCACGCTCCTCATGCGCTGCAGATTCTTCGGCTTCACTCGGCGTCACTCGGCTGCTGGACATGTCATCCGGTGTTCTGGCGCTCAAACCACCCAGTGCTCAATAAACCTGATGGCTAGGTGTGAAGAACTTGGCATGGCATCACCCAATGGCTTATGGGGCATGAACCTTCTTCTGCATGTCTTCAGTGCTTTCCATTCTCCAAGTCTAAGTGACATCAAAATAGTCAAATTGCCCGAAGCATTCTAAAGCCCAGCCTCCCTTCCGTTGGACGGACACCGCCCTGGTCTTCCCCTCTCTTTCCACCCGCCCCTCTCTTGGAGTCCAAGTGGCCAGGGACTTCAAGGGCGCTTGGCCCGGACTTCTTTGGACCTGTTTGGTCATCGCGCAGGCCCGGAGCTTCTTCAGGAGCTCATAGACGCCTCAGCCGGTGGCCCCGGTGGCCCCGTTGGAACCCCGTCCGTCCCCCGTCGCGTCCGTTCCGAACCCCAGGAGGCGGTGGGCGGTTGGGGTGCTTAGTCACTTGGGAACCGGGGCCCAAACACGTCCGCGGACACCGGGAAGGGGTAGGGTTGACGGTAGGGTTGACGGATCATTTCAGAGGTGCGAAAACGTCACCGAACGGTGTGAAGCGAAGGATGCTTGGTACTTGGGAGTGGTGAGAAGTCGCAGAAAGCTTCGGACATCAGTGCAACTCGTTGCCTTGGGGGTACAGCGTTGCAGCTCGATGTCTTTGTGACTATTGTGGGTCAACTCTGACAATCCGAGGTAATTAGTACCTACTGCATCTAACTGCTCAATCTTCAAAGCCAGCCAGTCAGCTCTGTTCCTCCTTCCATTGCGCACAGCGGCCGACACGCTCCGCATACGCGGGGAAGCTCTTCTCAATGGCCGATTGAATGCTGATTCCCGTGTGTTGCTCGATGAACCTCGTCGCTGCGGCTGTGGTTGGAAACCTGATTTAGACTCTTGATTCATCAAAAAAAGTTTGGACTCTTCATACATGGGCTTTGTTTAAATCAAGTTGCCAGGAGCCACAAAGGGGTGCCTATTGGAGGTTAGGGGTGCCCATTATCCACTCACTTAGGGACCTAGGGAGCAAATACCACCCCGACATGTGACCCCTGGTGTATGGACCTTGCTTGGATAGGCTTTCTTTCGCATCTCCACATATCTCTGGCCTCTTATCTCACACCTCTGGCCTATACGTACCGAGTACCGAAGTCCACTGACCTACCCCTCATGGGCTGGAACACCGGGAGGAACATACCCAAACACGACTAATGGGACTGCCATAGATGCCGCCCCAATGACCCCCTTTCAACCACCCCTGGCCTGATCGGCATATATGGCAGTCCCATTAGTCGTGTCTGGGATAGGAACATGGCTCAAACCCTGGCATTTGTCACATGTCACCACCCCCGCCCCAAGACCAACATGCTGTTCTGCTACTCACTGTTTCCGCTGCACGGAAACATCGAAACCAACTCTTCCCAACTGAAACCCTGGAAGTCCAAGACCATGTTAAAAATGGTTGATCTGGTTTTGTCATGTTTTGTAGTGTAAAACCCTTCGTAAAACCATGGTTCTTCGGGAAAGCCGGCTATTAAAAACAATGGTGGGCCACGACTTCTAGGGCCTGTGGTCTCAACGCATACCTTTTGAAAAAGGGCCGTTTTCTGAACGCCACTGTCACCCATCATTGGAGTGCTTTAGGGCGTCACCACCAGCTCCGACCCGAACCTGATCCAGCTCCGGACCCCTCAGTTCGCTCCCAGACACCCTGCCAGCTCATCTAAGGACATGCCTGACGCGCCCTGGACCGAGATGGGTTGCCGCTTCTTGCCTTGAAGGAAGAACTTCCTGGCACCATTCGGACGATCCGACGGGCACTGCGCGTCCATGTTTCGGACGTCGAGGACGGGCGGAGGTGAAAGACGTCCGGGTGGGCTGTGTGTCACCCCTGACAAAGAGGTGATGAACTAGTATAGTAAGCTATAGTAAGTATACGATTTAGTCCCTTTTTTGTGACTATATATGAAGTAGGATTTGGATGGATTTGGATTAACATGAAGATAGGATCGCCAAAACCCTAAGAAATCTCTGTTGTGTTTCACGGTTTTTGTAAACCACTTTTGTCTAGGTCAGAGAGTTGCTGACTTATGTACTGATGCTGACTTAAAACAACTACCTATGCATGTATATTGATGCAGCTGCCAAAATAAAATATATAAAAAGGGGCGGGATATCCATCAGCCCTCACATCATCTCACATCCTTTTGCTGCAACTCTGAGACCACTGCGATACAACGTTCAAACTCAAAGTATCGGGTCGGTGCTTCTGGTGCGGCAGTGCTGGAGAAACTTGCCACCTGCTTTGAGTGGCATTTCACATGCTTCACCAATCATTCTTCCAAAACACTCACAATCTGTAGTAGTTTGTTCATAATCTTCCTATATTCTGTGTATCCTTATAGCCTTATCCCATTCCCAGAATTAGTATGCATGCTGATGATTGGCCCGACAACCAACTATTCTTACACATTCAGAATTAGACACCGACTTATGATGTGGCGTATCCTTTGATGTTTGGCTGATTTGGGACGTCATCATCCCAAGCCAGCTGCCAAGCCCATACCGAGCCACACGTTGGGGATGTGGGGCTCTGGGAAGTAACGGCTTTGCAACTCCTCAGGCGCGCCGCTTTTGCACGTCCAGCGCAGCAAATCGACGCGCGGGAAGAAGACGCTTTCCGCACAGCTGACACTCGTGTTGTCTTTCATCCAAAAGGCGAGTTCAAGTTCATCTCTATTCATGAGGAGTCAGCAAGAGACTGGCTAGTGTCCGTCGGGTGCTTGCACACCAAAATGCGCACTCCAGCCGGACCTTCATCTGCTTCTGCCGCTGCCTGTATCCCCCCCCACTCTGCCACCCAAACACTCACTGACACCGGTCCAAACGCTCCGGCGCGCCCTCCACGTCCCACTGCACTGGAGGGTCGTTCTCGTCCGTGTCGATGACGCCAATGGCAATCATCGGCTCATGGGACAGGAGCTGCGCCAGGCGATGGACCAAGGGCTTCAGCTGTTGGCAGGGAGGACACCTTGGCGGGCGAGAGGCGCGCAGGCGAGGAGAGGCGAGAAGGTACGAGAGGATGGTGCGAAACGGAGAGAGAGAAAGAGAGAGAGAGAGAGAGACGGTGCGGTGTAGCCGAAGGTGCGGTGCGGAAGGCCTCAGCAATGCATGGCCAGTTTAGGGGGTTTTCAGAGAGTCCACCGGATTGTGTAGATCCCATTCCTTGCAGCTGTAACTTGGATGATGATGGTTGGGTTGCAGGCCTTTCTCTAACATAGAGAAATATAGTTGGTTTACTGTAGTGGGACGAAGCAAGATGTGAAGGGCGGTAAGGGAGATATGTTTGTTGAGATGCTGCGTTTTCTGCACCTGCTGCTCCTTGAGGTGAAAACAAAGTCCAAGACACCAGCTACTATGAGGTTCTATGTCCACCTACGAGGAGCTACACCACATTGAAACTTGCCTTGCAACCGACCAACTGCAACAAAGAAACATCAAATAACTGTCGGTTCCCTGTAGACTTCACCTCCAAAAGATCGTCGATTTACCTCCACAGAGTATGTTGATGTTACAAGGAGGATTTTCCTGAAAGGGATTTATGCTTCTTTGAAGGGCGCAAAAGCCTTAACCTTCTGATGCTGAATAGATAGTCCCCCCAGAGTGCTCCATCTTCCAGAGAAGGTACATGCAAACTACTCCAATCCAAACGGCCAAGCGTCTGCTCAATCCACAGGTTCCTTTCAACAGTCCAACCACCTGCCGGAGCTCCTTTCAGAAGCCTGCCAGTCATCCTCCGCCTCCGTCGTCCTCTCCGTCCTGTCGACCGTCTGCCATCAGTGCCAGGGCACCAAGAAGCACTGGCGACCAGAAGGACATGCTTTTGGCTGTCCAGCACCTCGGCCGTCGGTGCTTGCTGGAGGTCAGACGGGTCAGACGTGGGTCAGGTGACATACCGTCTGGACGCCGAACACGAGAAGACCCGGACAGCGGTGTTTCCTCACAAAGCTATAGTGAGTAGTGAGGAAGACTGCTTGCATCTCTGGGTTCTATTCCCAAAAGCACCCATCGGGGATTCTCTTCAAAGTTCAACATATTGAGGGTGACACCTTTATGACGGCGATGTATCTGTCATTGACAGGTCTCCCGTTTGGCCTCCAGTCGTACCGAACCGGCTTCGTTTCGGTGGGACGACCCGGGGCCCGGGTGCCAAGTCACGTCGGGTCCAGTCATACCGAAGCGCTTCGTTCGGTACGACTGACTGGAGGTGCGACGATCTGACCATCCATCACGATCCTGGACCGGCCTGTTTCGAGGGAGTCCGGTTCATCGAACAAGCCTCCAATCAGAACCTCCACCTTCCTCCCAGCCGATCCATGGGATCATCACAGCGCTGGATTCGTCCCCGAACTGACCTCAAACCCTCTTCCATCATCTTGCCAAGAGAGGTTGAGAGACCATATAGGACCTTGTAGTGGTAGAGATGCTGGAATGGGCGACCACCTTAGGGCTGTTCAACCTCTCTTGGATCCCCTGGCAACGCCTGCAGAGCCTGTTGCGACCACGGCGCCAATTCACGGAAGGAGTCGGCCGTCACGATGGTGAGGCCCTCGACCCGAGGATCTGCATCGCCTTCCGAACGGCAAAACACGCTATTTCATGCCCATTTTGTGGCGTCACCCGGGTGGGGTCAGAGATCAACAGTAGGTTCGCTGTTTGATGTTGTTTGTTACATGTTCCTATATGAGGTGCGGACAAAACTATTTTTTCATGCAATATGCCATATGCCAAACTGGGTCGTCCCCTATCGGTTGTGAAGAATTAGGCAGTTGAAATGTGATGTCATGATGGTGTCATTTGTGAAGCATCGGTTGTGAAGGGCTTGCCGGGCTTGCCATGTTGCGTTTTGATTGCTGCGCGGTTGTGTTTCCAGTTCAGGGCTTGAAACTGCGAGTACCTTGTGAAAGGCTTGTGGAAGCAAACAGCAGAGTAGCATCTCCTTTTTTGACTTGGTCACCCTTCAATTGGGACAAGGGGCACCAAAGCATGTAAATCTGCAAAGCATGGTATCGGTTAGTATCGGTTGAGCTGTCCATGAGAGCTCCCTTATTCCACGGTGTAACCACCCAACTGTTCATTAATGACACCTCATCAGCGAACTCAGTTGACAATGGTGTGATAGCTCTTGCAACATAACCCACTAAGGTTCAGAATTACTCATATTGAAAAGCACCTTGGATTCCAATTCACAGCCATCTAAAGCCAAAAACAATAACAACCAAAACAATCTTGGTGTCTTGGTGGGTATAGGGGTATCGGTGCTGGGTCGTCCCCTATCGGTTGCCATGGATTTCTTCACTTCTCTATAAGCACAAGGCGGCCTCTCACATATATTTAGTATTCCAATAATTTTGTCGGTTGCTCATATGAGTGTCTGCCAACACGTACTGTCAAGCAAAGGAGATGATTCAGCAAGGGGTTATCGCGGTGGCTCATACTGGGAATCCTTCTTCCGTGGGGCGCACATGGGGTTTCCGGACATTGTTGAAGAGATTTATCAGTTCAAACTCAAACGAACAAAAAGAGATCAATCATGTGGATGAATCTCAGAGATGTATTCGTTCCCTGCCTGGGGGTCGCACTCCGGAGCGCGTGCGCGTGCTGCGGCAGCGCCAGCAGACCCGCGCGTCGGCGGCATTTCCTGAACGCAACCGTGGACGGTGGCTTTTTTTCAAATCGTTTTGGATGTGTTTAGATGACCTTTGAGTTGGTTTTTGATTGTGTCCACCCTTCTAGTGACTAGTGTTTAGATGTACCTGTAGTGGGATGCAGTGGGTATTTGATTCTTCCACCCTTCTCCCTTTGCACCAATTGAGAGGTTCAGTGTGTCGGTGTTGCACCCCACGCGGACCTGCTTTTTGTTACCTCTTGAGGTTCTTCACCTGAAGAAGGCACTGAGAGGGGTCTCCTCGTTGTAGAAAACGACTGGAGGATGACACCCAAGACGCTCACAGCGTCTGGAGAATGCGCTATGTCTCGGTCTGACGCCATGTACCTCAAACCACTACAAAACCCACCTTTCGCCTTGATCGATGGCTCCTCCCGGAAACGGAGAAGCAACAGTTAGTTGGACGTCCAAGGCGCGCGCAGTGCAGCGGCAAATCCAAACTCCCTTCCTGAGAGCAAAGAGCAACCCACCAAGGGAGACCACCTGGGAGACCTTGACCAATGGTTCGCTGTGCAAGGCGTTGGACATGAAGGACCCGGACCAAGCAAATGATCAATGGAAACTCTTACCCAGTCACTCCATGTATGCCATAGTATATGCCTACATTGGGGTGGTTTTAGGGGTCAATGTAGGCATATATGGCATACATAGAGTGTCTGGGTTATAACATCAGGCATGCTCATTTTGAGGTGATTGTAGATCAATTTGTTATTGAGGCTTCCCCACTGGAGAGACCAATCTCCGCAGCTGGGGTGTGATTTTGGGGTCTAAGCAAAGCTCTGCAACTCAACAGTGGTACGCGCTCCGTGGTCATGAACTTCGTGTTGTCAACTGTCCTCAGAGTCCTTGAGATGTGTGCGAACCCTCCTTCATCCTCCTGATGGAGTATACCAAAGCTCTGACATTGAAGACATCTGCATCATCTGGAAGGTTCCATGCAATCCCTTTGGTCAGCCTCTTTCAGCCCGGAAACAAGATAAGCAAAAAAGACACACTTCCACCACCGCCGAAAGTGAAAAGGGTTGGTCCAAGGCGCGGGAGTTGATGAGCCCAAACATCAAACCTCAGCGGAACAGTCTTAGGCGAAAATAGGCGAACACCGTCAGAATTGAGCTCTGATTTGGCTTATATCCCATTACCAGGGCCCAGTGGATGATGATGGTTAGCAAGGGCTTTTCTCAGTGATCATCCTTTACCGACTGTTACTGGTTTGCTGGGCTACACCCTGGCTCTGATGCAGCTGGAGGAATGCTCTGTGGTAGGTCTCTCAGTCCTAGTGGATGGTCTTTGCACATGGACAGTCGCTCGAAAGGATCACGCCCCAAACTGAACGCTCTTCCAGTGAACGCACAGGGGAAGAGGCAGGAACAAAGTGTCTTAGACTCCAACTTGTGCAAAATTCCAAATCAAAAGATCAGCAAAATTTGGATTAACGATCATTAACTGTATCTAATTTTTTCTATAATTTGTATTGCTAATTCCAGATGAAAACGTGTCTTAGGTCGACCTCACATTGAACACTTCAGGTCGACCTGCACGTTCACTGCTTTGCAGAAACCGCCGACCCACCGACCCACCGGTCATGGCAGGCACTGGCTGAGCACGTTGGTGTCCAAGCGCATGGAACGCAAGTGCCCACCTGAATGGACGGCGGCGTTTTTTCCGACAAAAGACACGGAATCCGCCTTGGAACCTTGGAAGGACACCGTGTCTTTCGGATGAAGCACTTGGAATCCGCAAGATCTGGAGAGTCTTTCGACCCCTTGTCCTTCACGTATAGCATTGAAAACAGAAAAACAAACAGTTTGAGACTATACAACATGATAAACATCTGAGGACCGCCGTGTTCTTTAATTCAGAATCCTCAGAAGATCTCAGAAGGCATGCTTTAGACTTCTCCCATACCACCATGGACCATGCACTGCACCACCAGGCCGCCTGCGCGCCAATCCGCCGAGCCCACGCCGCTGCCCCCACGCTTGGCCGCGCTGAAGAGCATCATTCCTCGTGCGGGTCGCGGGTCGGGCGGGTCGCGTCTCGTCGTGAGCGCCGCAGTGGCACGCCACGCGTCGCGTGAGGTGCCTGATTTGGCGTGCCAAACATTTGGCGCGTGGGGCACGAGGCGTTCCGTGTGACAGTGAGCCACCCCAATGTAGGTATATTGTGGCATATATGGAGTGTCTGGGTAATGGTACCCATCTCAATCAAAGAAAGGAGCATCAGTTTTCACAACTAGGACCCACTGTCGGGGTGGTTAATGGACACCCCTTAACCTCTAAGGGGCTATCAATAGACACCCCTGGTCCGGGTGTCCTGGAATATTTCCCAAGGTTGACTCACTATCCTAGTGCTGAGAGCACAGGAGACCTTGTTTTTTGCACAAACCATGGCATATGTGTGTTCTTGTTGGCGGGTCAAGACCATCATGTCCGCAAGTTGACTGACCTGAAGCGGCCATGCATTCTTTCATCCAATGCACCTTCTCTCGGATCGATACTGAAGCGGCCGTCGGCCAGCAAGCCACCTGCGAAGATAGAGGGCGGAAGGATCCGACAACAACGGATGTCAACGGCAGAGCTGTTTCCGAATGTGTTGGCCGGAGCCAGAGTCATGGATGTTGGTGAAGTTCATCTATGTCCTCTGGTGTTGAAGAGGAGTGTGAGATGATGTTTTTCAACATCATGTTCAACATGTTTGAAACAACCTTGAAGACATGTTTCAGTGCCTTGAAGACAACGAAATGAAATCCCCCCAGGTTTCCCCCAGGTTACGTCAATCCATCCAGCGCCTTCTTTGGAATTGAGTCAACTCGCAGGATCGGATGTGGCCTCTTTGGATCGGGCGAGCCTTGATGTGGCCTTGATTGATGGCGACAAAGTGGTGGTGAGCTATATAATAGGATCCACCTGCCCCACCTGCCGTGGTATCTTGAACTTTGAAGAGGTGGAAGGTGAAGACCAACGAAACCAGGAACCCAAACCGCTTCGACACATCCTCTCCCGGTGGAGTTTAGGCCTGAAGTTTCCGGCATTGAACACCTGCTCTCCAATCCTCCAAAGATGATTCAAGGAGAATCACATGGTCTAAGTCTAAGTCTACCTTCTTCTCATGAATGCCACGTCCCAATCAGACCGAATCATATATACCACATGGTCTCCTTTTCTGACCTTCCTCGGCGGCCTTGACCCCCATCCACTGAGTCCGAAACCGACACCAGGGAGTCCCAACGGGACGACGGGACGATCTCGCACGTTTCCCTGCCTGGATCTCGCACGTTCAAGTGCATTTCGCCGTCCAGGTACACTTGGAAGGTGCCTCAAGGCTTGGGCGCAGATGCCAGGGTTTAGTGGGCGCTGGTACATGGGAGAACGGGGGTCAATGAAAAAGGAGGAGGAGTCAAACGGAGTCAGAATGAACAAAAGAAAAACAAACCGGTGGAGGATCAATAAAAGGATCAAGACTTAAACAACAAAAGACTAAAACAAAGTTGCAACTACCAGCAGTCTCAAAAGGGCGCTTAATTCAGGGTAGAGGGCCCATTATCCACTCACTTAGGGACTAAACACCACCCCTTTGTGACTGCTGGTATAGGGATCAACGCCAGATCTGCGCCCAAGCCCAGCAGTCCCGGCGGTTAAACGGGCAACAGTTTTATGGGATGTTCATCGGGTTTCAGGGTCAGATGATCTGGACGAAGTCAGAGTGTGTATATCTGTAAATCTCGCACTAATCATTTGGTTCCTATACAGTAGATTTGTTGGGAAACTTAACATTACCCCGAGGCTCCAATGCCTGGTATATTTGCCTACATTCAGCTTCGACCCTTTCAGAAACAACATTGGCCTCGATAGACCCAATGTATCCAAATTTTGAAGTCATTCAACTCGACAGATCTTATTAAACATTCGACAACACAAGTTCGACAGTCACCTTGATCACAGCACACTCATTTTTTTCATTTCTCTCCCTGTCAGTGACGCATATATGTTTGGAGTCGGAGCAAGTAGCGCATCAAACATCGAAGCTCCAACAACCGTTTGCTGACTCTGCGGGCCAGGCCCTTGACGGTCCCCACACAGTCTTCATCACAATAGCTGTGATAGAACCGGCAGCAATAGAGCTGGTTCTTCATGGCATAGTCCAATTCAATGAATGCCTCACTGGCTCAACCACAGACCAGTGTTAGAGGAACTAGCTGCGCAAAATACAGAAAAGAAAAAACACACAAAACAAAAGAAACCAATGAACCATGCTGCATGAAACTTTGGCTTGAAGGGCCATCGCAAAATGCTATTCGCAACACAAAAGGAGGCCAGCTGTTGGTAGACATCCAAGAACCTTGACTGTACTCCTTCAAAGACAATACCAACCATGCTAACAATTGAGCTGTGACAGGGAATTGTTTGAATGAATGCCCCCACACACACAAGAAATGATCAACCCCTGAGAGATTCAACTCCAAATTTGATGGATTTTGAGCAGACAAGCAGCGACCATGCTGCCTGACTAATCTCCTGAGCCCTTGCACTGGAGATGTACCGTGGAGTGTTTTCGATGAGCAACATCCATGCAGCCAACCTTGTGCAGCTGACCGTTCCAAGAGCCAGCTCTATGTCCCTTTCATCGTCACTGAACTGCCGACATAGATCTTGGAGGCATACCGCAACAAAAGCCATCAAGACACGCGAGGTCCAAGCCTTGAGTCTCAACTCTGGAAATTCGCCCCGTGGCACTGCAATGAGTGCAACCGGTATGAAAGTCTGGTAGTGCCTGCCAGGAAAACACCTTTACTGTTACCTTATTGGTTTTCAGGGAAAAGTGGAACAGAACCCAACATGGTTTGACCTCCAACACTTCACACCTCACCTTATGCGATTGATACTGCACCACTTGTTGAAGCGAGAGGTGAGGATGCAAAGCTGGCTTTGTAGTGGAGGTGGCCCCAAATAGCCATGGTTTGCCAGCAGCAACACCCCACTAGCATTCAACCATTGGCACAGCCCTAAGTGGACCACGTGCATCTCGCAAAATGTAATCCGGCTTGGATGCCAGCCACAAATCCACATGAGTGGAGACACATGTTTGCATTGCAAGATGAACTGCGCAGTGTTAGATCGTGGAGTGGTGGCAAATTGACGAAAAGCCGTGTACCTTAGCAGGATGTATGTATCAAACATCAACACAATTGCAGGTGAAAGCCTTGCCAGAAAGAGATCAACACAAACAAAATGTGTTCTTACAAGCAAAGAACTGGTATGCTCCAGCGTTTGTACTAGCCTCACATTGATGACAAATGCTTGAAGCTTTGTAGTGCTTGCGGAGGCCCCACACTTCAACTTGCCATTTCCTCAACTAAATGAAAAGTGAACATCAACACCACCAAATAGATTCTGAACATAATTTTTGAGGTTTCTTTTGGGAGAAAGCTGCAAAAACTTTTTCAGGAGCAAAGCCAATGTTCCAATCTCCTCTGTACTCTACGACTGCCCAACGATCGCTCATCGCAGTCCCCCCCTTCTTGCGCCGAATTGGATCCAGCTCCTCTGAGTTTGGCCCCACTGATGGCCATCTCCCGATGAAGGCCACCTGCCCATTAATCTCAATGGGATCTAATCGAAGCTTTCCAGATCACAGGCCACACAAATGTTAAGACTAAACACAAAAGACTGAAACTTTGCACAGCAAGTGGCATTGAAACTCCATGCTACTACTCTCAAGATTGGGTCGAGGGTACGCTGGCCAAGCGATGCTTCATAGCGCAACACAAAGAAAGGAAACCGAGCAAGGTCCAGTCCTTGAGTCCAAATTGAATGTCCCAGCAAAACCAACAAGCACTAGCCACAGTCGCAGCAAACTCGGACATACAAAACCTTGCAAACAACATGAATAGTTGGGTGGTTTGTGACAAGTCGGCTTTGCACCCTAGCCCCCTAGCCAAAACAGGCGTTCATTGCAAAGTGTACTGACAACAACCAAGTCGCTCTCAATCTTTTGAAGTACAAAATTCAAGAGCATAATGATTATCTTCCGTCCAGCTAGAGTGTATTTTGCATCATCGCCAAATATACCCACAGGCTGATGCAATTGACCAGTTGGGTTTTGGTCTTGTTCATCTAGGGCTGGGTGGTGGGCCATGTGGGCCCGGACATGATCCCAATAAGTTTTCTTCTCGCGTTCCACCACATTGATCTTGTTGTGAACCTGAGTTGGAACAGCCACTGACGGTTGTTCTGAGTAAAGCTGTTTGTGGGAACCTATTTGAGAGACAAGCCCTTTAGAATCATTGGACGATTGAACCAAGTTGCAGTGAGATAGTTCAGCAGTTCATGCGGCAAGATCATAGGCATACGGACTGTCTCCGTCTTGTTCTTGTTCAAGGGGTCCCGTAGAATGGTTTCTACTGCCCAAAGATCCTTCGTTGGCAGGTTCAAGTAACCTCCAAACCTTTAAGACGTGTTCTGTTTTGACACCAGCTGACCAAAAATAAAGAACATGTCAATCAAGCAAACACCGAGTTTCAAGGGGAAGGTTCAGCAACCTGAACAGGTCCCTCTCACAATTGCCAGGATATCGTCCGTGTTTGCCTATGCCAGCAATTTTTCTGGTCAACGCACTGCATCCATTTTTGGATTCCTCACAGGCATGCCATGGAACATGGATACATTGAAAAGGCCAAACCCTTCATAAATAATTGGGTGAAAAACTTCAGAAATAGAATAGTTGCACAAATATGTCTAAATCGTGTCCAGGTATCTTTCACTGCGGCTGCAGCTGCTTGCTGCAACTCTAACACTGAGCTTGCCTCAACATATTTGGTGTAGACTTACTGAAGCATGGTGGGGTAGTGATCATGCCACCACTATATTTGACTCACCCAATGCTTGGGACCAAGCTGGAGCCATGTTTGGTGCTGCCGAGCTACACCACGTCCAAGTGTGGAGAGAAGATGTTCGGCAAAGGATACATCTGCGAGGCAGCATTGAAAGGGCAATGGTTTCGAATTGCTTCTTGTCTTGGGACTGGACTGGGGATTGGACTTGTGAGATGGCCAAATCAGAGCTAGTGCACACACTAGATCTTGGAGCCCATTTTTCTTTTCGGAGATCATCGACTGAGCTTGTTTGATTGAGCTAGCACAGACTTGGGGCATTCAGTCAACTGCACAGGAGTTTACTGAGTTTCTTGAGTGTATACAAACTGCACAGGAGGGAACTTCAAACAAGCCATGACCATCCATGACCAGGTTTTTTTTGATGGCCGTGCAGGACACCCAAGCGTTCAAGATTGCTAAGCTGACCTCACGGATCTAAGCTTAAGGTCAGGCTGCAAGAAAGCAATGATTAAGCCGCAACAATCCATCCCTGCACCCTGGCTCCGAGTGGGAAAACAACCATGCTCGAGTATGAGTTTTGCTAGATGTTCATTAAACATGTACTAGTGCCAGGGTGACTAGCCCAAAGATTTAAGCAGCATGCACTGCAGTACCTGCCAACCTGCCCCTGCTGAAGGGATCCATGCTATGAGGGATTTTCCCAAAATATGCAGCACCTGTTCAGGCCGCTGCCTTTGCCTTTGCCTTGGCCTTTGCCTTCGATGCGCACTTTGGCTTATTCTGGTTCTCCAGCCCTTTGACACTCTTGGCCATTTGTTTGTAATCAGCAATGGCTTTTGCCAGCTTTTGGGTCTCACTTCGCAATGCATCATCGCCACTTCCACGGGACACACAGACCTCACATGGTGAGACACTTCAGGGATGGTGATTGATAAATTCCAAGTTCCCAACTTCAACTCCCTGGCGTGCTTGCTTGAGGGCTTCCAAATGTACCCCAAGATCCTTGACAACCGCCTCTCGCAATTGATTCGGCCTTGCATGGCAAAACACATGTGCCGCTGTGAGCTTGTGGTCCCATCCTGGAGATCCAAACAATAGGGAAAACCCCTGATGCTCGGCAACACTAGCAAACAAGTCTTGTTTCAACAGCCTTCGCATTCCAAAATTAAGCCTGTTGCCAAAGACATCGCCTGGGTTGCTTGGAGCAAAGAAACCAATTTAGGTGACCTTTTGGTTCCAGTCATGTCAGAATTTGTGACTGATGCAACATGTTTGTTGAACCAAGATACAGATTTGGCTTCCTGTTCTGCGGTTTTGGGCTTTGGAATACGCTTCTCCCTCTCTGGTTTCGTGGGTGGGGGTGGAGGAGGCATGTCATTGCCACCAGATCCACATGCTCCACTGGCACTGGCTTCGCTGGTAAATCTTGGGTCCAATGAAGCTGGATTCTGCCTCAAAAGATTGTGACATGCTCAATGGACCC